ATCTTAACCAAAAAAATTATATATAAAAAAAGCAAACGTGCATTGCACGTTGCTTAAACTTAGTATATATGTGTGTGTGTAAATTCGATGAAAACTACTATTAGCACCATAAATATTTCAATGTGTTCAATACATAAAGAAACACTTACATAGGACAAAAATTGAAAATCCACAACTTATTGCATACACAACACTTGGAGATTTTCACCTTAGCCTACTCAGTTCATATGCACGCAGTTTTTTGTTGTCAATCTCATCATCTTGTTCATCCTCACATCATCAAATAACCCCACAGGACCATGGACACACTCCTCTTCCATGCGCTTGAGTCCAAATTCAGATGGATAAACAGCCACTGACATAATTTGACCCTCTTTAGGAAGAAATGAACTTAGCAATACGTACAAGTCATCGGCCTACGGGGTTTCAATCCAACTCTCAACAAATAGATTCAGTAGAAAGGAACACCTAAACACTGGCAGTTAATAGTGCACTCAAATTCTACAAAATACATCAGGATATCACATTCAACGTTTCCAAATTGATGTTCCATTTAGTAAATAACATGTAAAGTACTACGATAATTAATGACATATCTAGTTATCATACTAAAAGTTCCGAACAACCATAAACAATGCAATCAATCCGAACACTAGTTTCAAAGATAAATATCCAGATTTAGTGTGGTGAAAGATCATCTTATTCACCTGAATATTATTTCATTTTATTGTGCCTAATTTTTTAAAAAAGGCTCAACTCTCTCAACCCAAAACAAATGGGCCAAAACTGAAAAAAAGCCCCACCCAAGGTCTTCTTCTTCCCGTCTTCTCTGTTCTCTCTGCAACAAGGAACGGCAACAATGGTTACATTGCAACAGTGACCCAGAGGCTCCTGACGGTATTGAAGACTCCGGCGAATCCAGCACGGGCGGCCGCACCCCCTCGTCGGGTGCTGAGTCCGCCCCTGGTCATGCCCATAGAAAAAGAACCTGCCGTGAGTCATATGGAGTTTATCTTGGAGTCATATAGTGTTGAAAGTACCCGCAAAAAATGGAAGAAATACGACTTTATGACAACGTTCTTGACATGACTCCCTAGACTTCTTTTTCGAACTCTCTACTTATAGTTTATATTCATGTTATTGTTGAATCTTATGTTTATGATTATAGTTGAATTATATTTATTATCATGTTTATGTTACTTAGTTGATTATGTTAATTCATAAATATCTACACATAAATAACATGTTTTTCCAAACATGTACTCTCTGCTCCTATTCCTACAACAAAACAAATGAGCCGGGTTGAATATAATTTTATGATTTCCCCTGTTTGACACACATTAAAATTTTCATTCTCATTCTTCTACTCATTTTCAACCACACATTTTTCAATAAAATAATATTTTCCATCACATCAATAACTTTTCCTTCTTTTTCGACCACACATTCTCCGTCAATTTACTATTCCAAAATATATTATTCCAAAATAATATCTATCAAACACACCCTCAGAAGACAATGCCAGCGTAATATTCGATACGGAAGCCATCAAAAGGAAATGGACAAACAGTGTAAAGTGCTGATAATCTAATAATTGAAGGAACCGGAGCTGATAATGGACAAAAATGTAAAATCCCAACAAGAAGATATTTTTTTTATTAGAAATGACATAAATTTATTTCCATACATATTAGTAAAACCTTTTACGCCTCCCCAATAATCAATTCTATCTAATTTAGGCATTATTCTAATTTCTTGAATCTCAGTTTCGATGGGGAAGGCCATTCAGGCCACCATCCACCACCAAGTCATGCCCAGTCACGAAAGCTGAGTTGTCTGAGACGAGAAACAATACAGCTTCTGCTATGTGTCTAACTGTTAATACAATTCCTTTCAAACTAGTCAATGGCACAAAAGAATTTTCATATAATTTCTCAACATCTTTCAGAGTCATCTGGTTGGCTTCACATGTCAATGGAGTTACTACGGCAGACGGTGACACGCTGTTTACTCTAATTCCGTACTCCCCTAATTGTCGACTGGCTGATCGGACTAATCCTAAAACTGCGTGCTTTGACATGGCATAGTCGGTCCGGTGCATAGCCCCTCTGGTGGCGGCCACACTGGCAGTACACACAATGGTCCCCCGGACATGCTTCTCCACCATCACTCGCGCTGCGTGCTTTATACAAGCTGCCATTCCACGTAAGTTGACCTGGATCAATCGATCAAATTGTGAGAAGTCGAGATCAAGAATAGTTTGTTTGGATTTACTTACTATTCCTGCATTGCTAAACATAATATCAAGTTGGCCATATTTTTCAACTGTCCAATTCACCATGGCCTTTACTTGTTCTTCATCACTAACATCACAACGCACGTAGCTGCACCTCTCTGTGCCAATGGATTCAACCACCGTTTGACCTTTCTCATCGTGTATATCAGCAATCACAACTGCCCGTGCACCATGATCGGCAAAAAGACTCGCAGTCGCCTCCCCAATGCCACTAGCACCACCAGTGACAATGGCAACTTTGCCTTCTAGTTTTTTCGTCAGCAAAAGGGATTCAGGGTTTGCCATTTTGCAGAGAAAAGATTTTTTCGTGTCGGGTGATAAGCAAACCTTTAAACAAAGATATTTCTATGCCTATTGATTTTATTTTTTTTATTTTTTTGGCGTGGGGTGTGATAGGCTTTATAGATAATGGGATTCTTTTGGCTACAATATTTTGGTACCCCACCCCACCTAACTTCCTTGAAGTGATATCGAGATTAATTTTTTTCAATAAAATCGACAACTGATATATGTTGGGACCCCCTGTCTATTTATTAATGGAGTCCAAATTGAGACGTTTACCTAACAACAAAATCATGCACAAGAACTAAGCTACCACTATAGATGGTAAAATTTAGATATATGAATATGAAATTGAAGGAAGAGTAGTTGGTGTTTGTTGGCCGTAGTTCCCAGCACATTCTATTCTTTGTCTAATTCCATTTTGCCAAATTAAGATTGGATCATTAGAAGTTTGCGAAATATATAAGTTGTAGGTGAACGATCACTCAACTCTTCTTGCACCATGCTTAAATCTAACTTGATAAAGGTAGAATGTGCCCAACACATTCGTTTTGGGTCCTAATCTGCAATGATTAATGTGCAATGCACCATCCGTCTTTTGAATTGACAGATTCATCCAATTGAACCGCCATTGAGGCTTTTTTCCACGGATTTTGAAATTTTCTAGGCTATATTCATTATTCATAGAGCATGTGTGTTGCAACCTACATAAAGTCATTTTAAGCGTGTGTTTTGTTTAGCTAAAAATTTAATTTAAAGTTAACAATTAATTTCAACAACATATTTCATGGGATCCAAAACTTACGTTAACTTTTATCAAATATACTATGAATTTGATTTTAACAAAACCAAAATATTAATGATTATCATTACACTTATATTGCCTCTGTTTAGTGGGTTTTTTTTTTTTTTTTTTNTTTTTGAATAGTAATTTTTTAGAAAAAATGTAATTAAAAATATATGAAAAAATTTTAAATTTACGTGTAAAATATTTTATTGTGTGAACACTTGGTTGAAAAAGAATATGGAGAAAAGGAATTTGAAATAATGGGAGACAAATTGGGCTCTGTGTCTAAAAATACCTAACTGCTTGGAAGCTTGCGTCTGTATTGATTTTTTTTGCTTTGATTGCTAGTTCTGAGCGAACACAAGCTTGGATGAAAAATGCGATGTTAATTTGGGGACAAGAATATGGCAAGAGAAGGTGCTAAAAATAAGGATGAAAGCAAGACGAAGGGATTAAAACCACCAAAAAGTGGAAGGACTACGCTGGAAACACTAGCAGCCCCACACAATGAGGTGGTATGGCCGCACTATGGTTGTGAGAAGCAGACGAGGAAAGAGGAGATTTCAACCTTGATGCAAGATTTAGGTCTCGACTGTTTCGGATTAAAATCAGATTTTAATCTAAGTCAAAGTTAAACAATCAATATTAATCGCATATTTCTTAGGTCTTACACATTTTCAATCACACATTTCAAAAACTTCTATCACAATTTAGTAAAAATCTAATTTTAATCATCACCAAACACTCATTTAATTTCAAGTTCTTCCTTTTTCTACTGAAAACCCCGTATTGATACTCTAATTTGAGGTTCACAAAGATAATGTCCGGCTAATTTCCTAGTTAGGGCAAGCAATGTATTTTAATTGAATCTTTTGTTTATATAATTGATTAAGCCCTTCAGCTTAGATAAAAATCAAATTTTAGTATATTTTATTAAAAAATAATGAATTGTGGGATTGAAAATGTGATAATTGATCTCATGAAATGTAAAATTGAAAATTAGTTTAAAAAATGAGGGCCAACCAGAGACTAAATTGTCGACAACAATAAGCCGAATTGTAAATTATTTATTTATACAAGTAGTAAAAAACATGTAATTTTGCTTAGAAAAGCAATTTTTTTATTATTATTATTATTATTATTTTGAGTTAAAAAAGAAGTTTGAAATCAAATTCTAATTAAATAAGTTGACTTATTGTTAATAACAACTAAATAGATGTACCTTTTATCTATATGTAGATCTGAAATAAAAATAAAAAGTGCATAAAATTGGTCATAGTTTCTCTCCAATGTTCACTTATAATTGTTTATTAATAATGCAGCATAAGAAATTTTAAACATGCAATGCAAAAAGTTTTTCGGAAATACGATAGGCGTGATTCATTTTTATTTTTTAATTGAAGAAGGAAGCTCTTAATCTTAAAAATCATGATTTGACATTATATATTTTTAAAATTAAAATCTCGAGGGCTTGACGAGGATGCGTGTCTACAAGTTAATATAAAAAATTAAAATGGTTCTTAATAATTAATACGTGCAGATACCACTCACGAACAATCACGATCATAAATTTGTGAGCAATATGAGAAACGAAAAAAAAAAATTAACGAAATTCTGTAATTTTTGAATTAATTAAATTTCTAAGCATCTGGTTTAAGATTTTTTTTTTTTAATTATTATTAATCACTTAATTTGCCTAAGGAAAAGTTAAATATTCTATTGGTCTAACTTTGTTAAATATTACTTGCTAGATTGCGGCCCATCTGAAAACTGATTAGAACGGGAAGTTTTTTTGTAAAGCCCAACCAAAAACATGCATGTCGGAACTATAACCAATGCTTGTTTAAGCCTATGTTTGGCTCCCACATTAAAAAATTCATTTTTTTCAAAACTTATTTTTAATTACACATTCTCTTATAAAATAATATTATGCTTAGATCCCATAAATTTCTCGAAAACAAATTAATTTGTATCCCATAAATTCGGAATTGAAGAAAACATAGTACGCAAATTAATTTGCAACATATTATGCACATACTAGTTGCATTGTAAAAAGAGAGATGTCCTTAGACTTTATCATTGTCATCGAGGCCAGAGAAAATATGAATGTGATTTTTTCTAGTAAATTTTTATTTTTTCATAATGAATTATTGCAGTGACGAGAGATGACGTAGTTTCTCATCGAGGCAAAACTCTGTAATAAATCTTGCATGTTCTTGAATGTTCGTTTTTATTTTTTTGAATTGATTGCTCTCGATAGAATATAATTGGGGTTTATAATTATCAACGCATATAACCTCAATAAATGAAAGGAACAAAGATGATTTTTAACTTTATTGGATTTAACCTCACGTTAAATCCATGTACTCCCATCGTGCTCCTAGTCGACGATCACTTTCCTAGAGTCAGTGATCACTTTTATAGTGAATGCACTCTAAAAGGATCCATGTTTGTGTCCAAAGCTGGGATTAGAGATATCACACGATCCTTCTTCAAACTCTCCTTGATGCGTATGCATATGAAAAAAGATTGCCTGTATAGAATTTGTAAGTCACTTCCTCATCCATTGAACATGGTCAGGGGATGTAGACCCCACATCCTGTCAAAGCGGAGGCCTAAAAATCCGAGGTTGACTTTTATGGTATTTATCCTTAGAAAGAATACTTGAATTGAAAAGACTAAAAATTTCCTTTTTGAGTAAAAAGTTACCAGTAACAAAAAAATATTCCGGCAAAAAGATAGACATTCCATTGGCATCAATTTTTATCCGGAAGAGGCTCACATTATAAATAAGTCCCAAGGCAATATTTAAATCATTCGTCCTAAACGCATTTAAGTCATTCTCCCTAAAACATCCCCTACCCAAACTTTTTTGTGAGCACAGAAATCAGTAACAATTAAGATGAATTTTCCTCCAGGGTATCGTTTTCAACCCACAGATGAAGAACTCATCCTTTTTTACCTCCAGAAAAAGGCGAAAAACCTGCCAATGCCATGGAACAGTAGCATCGTGGAAAGAGATCTTTATGGAGAACATGCCACTCCATGGAATGTGTTCAGCGACAATGATCCTTGGGATATTTCGATATCACGGGGTAAAGATGGAACGAATAGTATGAAGATAACTTTATATGTTTTTACCAAGCTGCTGAAAATTGGCAAGAAAAGAACTGAAAGAAGAGCCGGTTGCGGGACATGGGATGGCCAAACCGGGGCTAAAATGATCAAGAACTGCAATGGTGAAATAATAGGCTCCAGCAAAATGTTGAGTTTCGAAGCAAAGGAAGATTCGGATGCAATCAAGAAGATTCACGGACATTGGATTATGCATGAGTACTCACTTGATGGTGTTTCTTTGAATGAGCATACGAGCAAGGATTACGTGATTTGCAAGATAACAAGAATCTTGATGGCGCCAAGGGATCAGCCCGACGTCGTCCAGTTCGCAGATGAAATCGGAACAGCCATTAGAGGTGGTGAAAACCCAAGAATCGACGAGGAACTGAGCAAGAAAAGATGTACAACAGTTGAAGACTGTCCACATGCAAACAAGAAGGCAAAAGTTCAAGATTCGTCGATGGACGACATGCAAGAGGTATTTGGCAGCTTGGATCCTCTACTGCCAGAGAACGAGCAATTTTCATTCGAATTTCCAGAGACGGGCGAAGAAGTTTCCAGCTATGATAGATTTAGACAACAACTGGCCGCGGATGATGATATTATTTGGTTATAGTACTTCGATTGTGAGGTGCTTTGATTAATTCATATTCATGCAAGGTTCTGATAACCATACTGTAACAAAAAATTTGTTGTTCTTAACAGAAATATATGTATTTGTGTTCATTGATATTTTATCCACTTTGTTGTTCTTAACAGAAATATACGCGATAATGGGACAACGTTTCCATAATAAGAGTTCGAAGCAATTTCGATTTTGACTTCATGTAGTTTGCTATGTAAAATTAAATTTGGGATCATAAAAGTTTCTTTAAAAAAAATTAGAAACAACATAGTTCAATATTTTGATAACTAGATTAGACATTGTCACAATTCGTTATTAGTTTTATATGGATCAGTTTGACCAATGAAAATGGTTGTCACGTGTCTAATTAGCAACAAATAATGCTTGTTTGAATACATCACTGAGGCACAGTTAAAACGACACCACATAAGCTAGGTGTTGGATTATAATTTAAAACAAAGTCAGTAATTAATTTTAATCACGCATTTTATGGGACCCACAACTTTTCAAAAACACCACGTTAAGCTCAAGTGTGATTCAACTAAAAAAAAATGACGTCATGAACCGAAATTAAGGTTACAGAGTGCTAACAAAGATATTCGAAGTTAAACTTAAAAGGTTTGAAGGTTGTGGAAGCAATGGAAATTCAAGGACACGTTCTAGGATTATAGTTCGCCTAAATCGCAAGGTGTCGCCTAAATTGACAAATTCTCGAACATGAGAAATAAATAAATGAATTTAATGGAGCATGTAAACAACTTCATTACATCTATCCGGTCGACAACATTTACGCCATATGACGCTTACCGCAAAAGTCGTTCGTCCTACTTCCTAACACAGTTGGAAGTGTGTCATCTCATGTTGCAACATAAAGGCCTTCCTCGCTGTTGCAATTTGTTCCACATACAAATCATCTGCCTCGGAGATTGGTAGTGAGCCGTATAATAATCTTCTATGCACCCAAACTGGCAGAACTTCAAGCTATGTACGTACTCAACTGCTCGTAAATCATTGAATTTCTCGACCCACATTCCCATACTCACGTCCTCCATTTTGAACAACTGCAGATCAACAACTTAGTTATGTTTTGCACGTTATAAACCTTTAAATGATGATGCATTTATATGATTGTATATGTATACGAAAAAAAGGAAAGATAGATTATGGAATTTACCCGTAGCTTACGCTTCTCGAAGTCGGAAACAATAAAGTTTGCAATGTCCGATGAAATAATGTATCCTGGCCCATTCGCATAGGGCGGATAGACTTCCTCTGGCCATTCCTAGACCACCACAAAGAACATAATGAACGTTATTACAATTTTAGAGCACATGTCGAAAAAAAAAGTACCCCAAATTAAAAGAACTTCTAAAAAAGCTCAAGCACATTTGGCCAAAAAGACTTTACTTCTTTCTTTAGGCGTAGCCAAACAAGATCTTAATGTGTTGCCGACATCAAAAGAATTTAGTCCAAAGAGTTGCTCCAAGTTTGGATCAACAAATAAGAGCATCTCCAAGAGAGAATTCTAGTTATAAAGAGCGTCTTAATAGAAAGTATCTTTAAATTTGGAGAATAAAATATTTTATACACTTCAACAATGTTCTCTATTTTAGCTCTTCATTTTGTTTTTCTCAAGTAACATTTATTTATCTCTCCACATTTTTTATTCAAACATAATTTTTTTTTATGTCAACAATCAATCAGTTCAAATATGATTTGAACAATTTCATAAATGGACTATTGAAATTTGTAATTTATTAAATACAATCATTATAAAGTAAAAATAAAGAGTGAGTTTAGCTCTCCAAAACTCATTCTCTATTTTAAAAAGTTAGAATAGAGATTCACTTGGAACCTATTTTTAAGTATCAACTCTTTAAAATAGAAAGCATATGGTATTTAGAGTCCTTGGAGATGTTCTAACAAGCTTCTTCAACAGTCAAACTAGCAACAAAGAAAAAGGGGTTCCAGGGACAACCTTTTGTTCCTAAATACAGCAGTCATACCGTCTACTCCATTTCTTAATAATATCCCAAGTTTCCATTTAGGCTCTACGAAACCAGTTCAGAATCAAAATAGGTTTTTCAATGGCGTCCAATGAAAAAGTTTAAATAAACATCCCAAAAACCTTACTCTAATGATGCAGATATAAGGGCATCTAATGCCACAGAAAACTGATCTGATTTTAACTATCATTTCATTACAAAACGGAACAAAAATCCCCATAAATTGCAATAGGTCATCTAATGCCACCAATAGGTCAACTAATGGAACGCGTTATACTGCTCGAGTAACAAATTTGTACCCTAAATTGCAATGGCATTGACCACGGGCACATAAGTCATATACCAGCAAACAGAACAAAGGAAATCAACTATAAAGTTGGAAAAGTAAAGGGCGTGTTCGGTAGAGATTAAAATCGGATTAAAATTGAAAAACTAGCCATTATTGTTGACTTTTATTAGACGAATGAGACCCAATAACGACTATATTTTCAATTTTAAATGGATTTTAAGCATGACAGAACATGCCCAAAATGTTGTAATAGTACCTCATATGTCACTGCCCATTTACCACTTCGCATGGGCTTATGGTAGTAATTCATATTCCCAATGTACAAGCTCTTGTTCTCAGGTATTTTCTTCACTTCCATAAGAACAGAATCTACTCTGACAAATGTGTCATCATCAGTTTTCATAATATACTTTGCAGAGGCTCTTCGGACCTGCAAAGGTACAGAATTAAACCAGTCGAGCTACAAACTTAATTTCAATCCATAACTTGCCAATGAATCCGCTACTCACCCCATATTCACAGATGGCAACTGTCTTTAAAACAACAAGGTCATAGTTGTCCATGTATGGTACTATTACAATGTCTCCAAAAAAGTCGGCTTCTTTCTTTAATTCCACATTCACTTCCTTTCTTGCATGCTATCCAAAGATATTCTTAAAATAAATTCAAAAGCCTTCAACAAAAGAATTAAAAGAGGTTGCATTTGCATCATACGTTCCATTAATCGGTTCACCTACCAGCGCAACAAAGAAACGAGCAACAGTATTGGATGACTTTATTAGCCTATGCTGCATCCAAGACTTCCTCACAGCCATACGTTCTGCAAAGTGATTGCCTGCTGAAAGAATGCCAATGAACAGTTCAATGGGCCTGTCTAGAATAGGAGGAGCCCTCCATCTGTTAGACCAATCAAGATTTCGTTGAGGTGCGAAACTGGGATGTGATGTGGGCAAGGAAGCAGCAAAAACAGAGTGGACATCAATTTCTCCATTCAAAGATAATCCTGTGGCATCTTCAAGTGTAAATCCCTAAATATTAAATAAACACTTGAGCAAAGTCCCATTTATCACAAGGCCATAAATATTATATAGTGGGAAATAACTTACAGGGTGATATGGAAATGAGGTGACATGTCTTCCATCCACATTGACGTGGTACCCCTCCAAGCCAGCTCTAAGAGTTAGGACAAATAACTTGTCTTCTGCAAATGGGAATGCCCAATCAACATCCATCCTCTTCGGCGTTCGGCCAATTAACCGGTTTAACCACCATGTTATCTTTGATTCTTCAGAGCCATCGTCATCATCTCTAATCCACTTTTCACATTTCACCAAACCATCCACTGCAGAAGTTTAATGAATTATCCATGAGGGTTAGTGCACGAGAAAAAAGTACAGAAGATACAAGGCCAAGAGGAGCACATATATTAAACAACTACATATCAATGCTTAACATCAATATTATATCAAAGAATTATAGTTCTTCCACCAGAAGGGCATATTATAGATGTCATGGACAAGATGCACTTTCTCCATAATTTTCTTCCAGCATCATATAATTGCTTAAAGGTGGGAAAATGAAAATTCAATTTAAAAATTCTGGCCTTAAAATTGTATACGCAAATTCACTTTTAATTTCTTTCATTCAGAACCATCTAGTCTCCCCTATGAGAACCATCTTTCACCGTGCTAACTTGAATCTAATAGAATAAATTCCAGAAATATCTGATGATGAATAAACTGAAAAACGCTGTGCAATCAAAATGTATAAACCCATAGGCAAGTAGTCAAGTGACCTATTACTATAGGCAAGTAAGTCGAGTGAGCTAAATTACAAGTCACTTTTCACCTTTTTTCTTTGGTTAATCAGATTATTTATAATTATTGTTTCTAATTTCTTCCCAAGATACCCATTTTTCAACCTTGCAGATTCAATGTAACAAAAATAGCATTCCAATAAAAAGAAAATTAATGTCATATCAATTTATGAAACCAAGCAACTCATCAGAAAAGCAATTCTAATTACTCACCAGTCTCCTCATCGGCCCGTGACTTCCTCCCATCACACCGTTGAGCAGTCCCCCACTGCATCCTATAACAAGTGTTTTGCTCAATGACAGGCTTCCCACTCCAATCTCCCTTCACCCGTGGATTAAAATGCAGGATCCTTGGAGGATCCTCTCCATCCACTATCCTCAACCCCTGCAACTCCATCATAAACTGTGAAACCATCAAGTACAGTCCCTTCTTCAACAGTGAAATCTTCGGATCAGTCTCTGCGTGCGCTACCCTTGGCTTCCCCACCACCGTTATATGCGACCCCAGTGTTAGACCACATGGCAACACCATCACTTTCCCCTTCGTCCCAAACACATCCCCCCTTATAGCTAACGAATGTGGGCACTCCTTACTTTCTCTTTTATTCACACCAGAACTAATACTTCCACTATTATTTTTCCACATCTTTTTGCCACCTATCTTTTCCAGTTCAAGGTCGTGCCAGACCTTTCCGCCATGCTCAAGGGCCTCTTTCGCTGACTCCAATATCCCATTTCCCGGGATTGCATTTACAATGCCAGCACTGAAATTCAAGCTTGTCAACGGTATTCTACCAAACTCTTGGATTCTTCTATCATGTTTCGAATGGTTAGAAACCTTAAAAGCTACATCATGAGGGCGTACGGGTGCCTCTTTTACCTCCAAATTTTCCTCAATTTCCAGCACAAACGGCTTGTAATTCAAAAACTCATTATTACTATTTAAAATCCCCTCTTGCTTAACTGAACCAAACCCATTTTTGAACACAAAGGGGACTTCAAAACTCACTAGAAGCATGTACAAAAATGCAATAAAAACAAGAATCTGAATTGATCTTTGCCGTCTCAGCGAAAAGAACAATTCCAATTTTGGCCTCCTCATCTTTGATCAAATTTTTAGCTAAAGAAAAGGAAATACCTGCTTCAAGTTCAAAATCCTATGATCATTACAACAGACTGCGAAATTTTCCAACTTTCATAAAAAGGCAAAACAAGCCGACTCAGAAACAAACGAAAAACCCAAGAAAACAGGGAGATGTAGCCAGATAGAGGTAGGTTAGCAACACAATGATGCAACCGCTTTTAGAGAGGGAAAGAGGTACATACATATATAAATGTACACATAAATATATAGAGAAATAGAGAGAGGCTTTCTGGGTCGGACACTTTTGGTAAAGAATGTTCATTTTCAATTCAATTGATAAGGCTTTCTTTTAAGAATATTTTCTCCAAATAATACTAATATTTGAAAAATTACGATGTTGCCAGCTAAATTTTTCAACATGCCAGAACTGAGTACAATTTCTAATATAGGAGTGTAATGTTATTTAGTATTATTGGTGCTTGGCACCAATCTAGGTGGTAATTAAATGTCATTAAATGATAAATTTATTTAAATGTAAAGTCAAAACATCTATTTAATTGTACCTATCAAGTGTGTCCACCTAAATTGGTGTTTTAGTATCACTGGTATTAGATAGCATTATTCAATACAGAATGTGCAATCTATAATATATTAAGCCCTTGATTGGTTCCCATTATTTTCAAAATAATATTACACACAAATTAAAAAAAATTCTTCATAACCATACATTTTCTATCAAAATACTATTTCAAAGTGCATCACTTCCAAAAAAAATGGAGCCCAAACAGGCTCAATATTATATCAAGTAAGAACAATTTTGTGGACAATTATAGCTATACTATAATTCAATTATTTCAATAATACCTTACTTTTCATTTTTTAATATGTATTTAATTTACAAAATATAATAAATATTATAATTAAATCTCAATTAATTAAAATTCACGTTCACATTCATGTTCATGTCCCTATTATTAATTCTTAATTAATTAACATTCGTATTTATTTAATTAATATTAATTAAAATTTCACATTCACTTCCATACCCATGTTATTAATTCTCAATTAATTAATGGTCCCATTCATTTAATTAATATTGATTAGAATTTCACATTCAAGAATATAGTTTATTATTCACATTCATATATGCTAATTAGCATTCAGTTTCATTTAATTGAAAATTAAATTCTATTCGTTTAATATAAATGATTTAATATTCATTGTCATGCATATATTTCTTGATATTAATTCTAAATTATTTAACATTCATGTTGATTCATGTATCATATTTGTCATTCATCTTTATTTATGCATTTAATTGTAATTCTAATACTCATGTTCCAGTATGTATTTAACTATTTTAATGCATGTATAATAATTAACATTTATTTTCAGTGATTTGCATTTCTCTCGTATTTAGATCAAAAAGATAAATAGATTGTCAAATATTACTTTCACAACATTTATAAAATGTTTTAAAATAACGTGCAATGCACATTCAGCTCTAACTAGTATAAATAAGATAAAAATTGTCGTTAATTTCTTATAATGTATTATAGAATAGTAGATTGATGGAGAATGTGTTGTTAAAAAGTAAAAAAAACTTTATTAATTTGTGTATAGAATATTTTATTGTATGAATATGTGATGGGGAATGGTACTGTAGCAAACAATTTAAAATTTTAAAGAATGACAAACTGGGCTAAAGTCTAAGCAAATGAAATTATCCTTAAATATAATTAATTATGTAATTACTATAGGATTATGATTCGTTTGGTATAAATTTAGTTTGTAATTTGATATGAAACTGTTCTAATATATAAGAATAATAATTTGTAGGAGATATAGAAATAACATGAACATAACCCAAATTAATGATAGGTTGAAAATTTATTGTACAACTTTTCCTAGATTTCGAAATGTAAAGTATTATATGAATAAATTCTTGCATTATAAATGTTAGGTTTGAAAATTTAAAATTCTTGAAAAGTTGTTTGTGTCTTGTCGTTGCCGGAAGCCACGTTGTTACGTTTCTGCCTATGTCATACGAGGAATAATCCTTTTGCCTGCATATATTTATGGTCCTAAATTCGTATAATGAGAAGGATAATACATTTCAAATGGCATTCATTTCAAAGTTGGCACTTGGCATAATCTTCTTATTTTGACCCTTTCATTCCGTGTGTGTTTGAATCACATTATTTTGAAAAAATGTATTTTAGAATAGTAAATTGATGGAGAATGTGTGGTTGAAAAAGAAGGAAAAATTATTGATATGATGAAAAATATTATTTTATTGAATAATGTGTCTTTGAAAATCAGTAGAAGAATGAGAATGAAAAGTTTAATATGGCCCAAACAAGGACTTAGATAGCCAAGACAACAGAATTAGGTATGGCAAAAATTTACGTCTTCGATTCATCTCACACGTCCCATCCTATATAATAAAAGGGACTAAAAACGTTATCTCGTCCTAAATTCTTCAAACCCTCCCGAATAATTTATTTTAATATATTTTAATTTAAATTATATTTAAAAATTAAATCAATTAATTAATTAAACAGGACAATAAATAAAGATATTTTTTTTATCTAAACCTCGCTCCACCCCCTTGTCATCCTTGAGAAATAGACAACATAAGGAGCAAATAAAATAAGTGTTCAACATGATACTAAAGCATATTAAAGAAGAGACGCCAACCATTTATGAAAATTCCACATGCAAGGTAAATAACGGCTACAACAAACTAAACCTTCAATAAATTTGAGTCAACTGCATATATCTTTTTTCTTCGCTTGTCCGGTTACATTAGTAGATCTACAAAGAAATCCAAAGCAACCTATAGCAAGTTTTGAATAACACACTTCCAAGTTTCAAATACATGCAACCTTAAAGGCTTGAAGCAATATGACTCATCATACATTTCAGGCAGTCTAACCACACTGCAATATCATCCGCTTTATTAAATGACAAGGAACGCAGTGGCATAAAGGAAATCTGTGGGTAACACTCGTCCAATGCAGCTGGGGAAAAACTCAGACAAACATCAGGGGTGACTGCTCCGGTACATCGCCTGTGCAGCTGAACTAATGGGGATCACACCAGAGGATGACACAAGAGCATCCACGAGGACATCGTTTGGGGTCATTGGTATAATGTTTTCATCCAATATCTGCAGCGAATAAGAAAGAGCAACTGCACAATGAAGCAAGCTGTTAACCACACACTATAATCATATCGAAGCATAGGCTTAGAGCATGTTCGACTATGCTTAAAAGTAAGACAAAATTGCTCTCGAGTTACTTATCTTGCCAAACATGATTTTCAGTTATCTTTCTCACTTACAGAACATATTTTTATATGAAGTAAGTCTTAGCTTACTTTTTATAAAAGTAACTGTTAAGCAAAGCAAAACATGCAACATATGTTCCCTGGCAGAATTCAACAGAGTTACCTACCAAATAAAGGTCTCTTCCAGTTGCGATCCTTTGCGAGCTCTTGGTACTTGGTGAGGAAGGTGTCATAATAACTTTATTTTGTTTATTGCACATCAGGACATGATAGAAAAACAGATTGATATTTAGGAAATCACAAAAAAATAAAAAAATTGAACATAAAAACAAAGAAACGAGAAAAGAACTCCATGAAAATTGCACACCCAGAATTCTGTAACCTACCCTCCACCACGGCCCAAGCGCCTACCAGATTTGTCAAAGGCAAGCCCTGCAAGATAGAAGAATCGCAAAACAAATCAAATCAACACAATTTTCAACCTATGGTCAGCAATGCACAGAAGAAAAAATGGAGACATGCACACCAGGTAAGAGGAACAAGTCCACAGGTTCGTCGGCAAACATGACTGCAAAAACATCAAAGTATAAAACTTTTAGTTTCAATCAAATGTCAAATCTTGTTTGTTGTAGAGTCGATTGCTATCCAACACTAAGTATAAACATATTGAGAGTGTATAAGTTCCAACAAAATAAACATACATACATACATACATACATACATACATACATATATATATATATATAGACACACACAAGTACATACATATATACATATACATGTGTTTGTGTCTACGAAGCTAATGCCAAATGTAATTATCTATGCAGGGTTGTAGGGAGCAATTTTCATAGTTCCAAGACTTAATTTTGTTGTTTGGGGGTAAACAAAATGATCACAAGTCCCCAACGACTGAAGAACAAGAATTAGCAGTGACAAACATGGTGAATACTAAAGACAGTACACAAATGGAGAGTGCTGAAGTTGGCATAAGTGTGGTGAATACTGCTGGTAGGGTGCCAGATTTGAATACTGAAGAAGAACATTCAAGCTGTGAGATTAGTGTAGAGCCAAACTAGATTGGTAGGTTCAACTCAAAACATCGAGAAAAGGTATGATGTTTGCACATTGGTTTTGGGGAATTGGCAAATAACTTGATTCGAATTGTATAAAGAGCAGCAGGGACCAAAGAAAGAACTGTTGACTTGAGAGTTGAATTTGATAATTGTAAACTCTAGGATTATTTATGAAATTATTAAAATTGAAAATTTACTTTCATGAAATCTTCATTTGTTTAATGTAAGTAAACCTTAAACAAATAAAGAGTTTGCGAAAGTAAATCATCACCTTTACTAAATTCATAAATAATCTCGGAGTCCACAGTTATCAAATTCAAGATAAAGTTAAGAATTCTTCCATTGACCTCTACTACTCTTTATGGAGTTCTATTCAATTTCTATGTCAATTCCCCAAAACAAACCTGCATACATTGGACATTTTCTCTATTTTTTGAGTTGAACTGATGGTGAATTAGAAGGGACGTGTCTATTCAGTTTCCAAGTTTAATGCATATTTTAGGAAATGTTCTTAGTATTTGATTTATTAGTTATTACCTTCTCTAGTACTTTCTTACTTATAAAAGGTCTTTTGAAATCCTATATAAAGGGGTTTTTTTACGTTGTAATGGAACCAACTTTGAATGAATAAAAATTAATATACTTATTCCCCAATTTCTCTCTATTATCTCCCTTTTTTCCCCTCCTTTCTCTTCCTCTATTCCCTTTTCCCTTCTTTTATAATTGTTCTTGTTGGATCCTGCATCATGAACTACCTAGTTCTACACGAATCTCACGTCTTGAATGTTAGTATTCACCATTTGTGTCATTGGTAATTCTTGTTCTTGGGTTGTTGGGGACTTATGGTCGTTTTATTTACACCAAACAACAAAATAGTCTCACAACAATGACAATAGCTCCAACAACCCTGCATAGATGATTACACGTTGCATTAGCTTTATAGACAAAAGAACACAGACACTTGTATATGTGCATGTAATATGCGTGAGAACTACCCATCAAAAAAAAATATGTGTGAGACCACACATGTGCATAGCTGTGTAGAAGTAAGAGAAACGCAGATAGATTTAAAAGTGTAAACCTACAGGAAGCGGACAAGAATTACCATCTTGGCGTTCATTTCCCTCTGCATCAACAGGAGCAGGCTCCAATATGTCCATGGAATTCGAAATTAGATCATTCATGCTAGAGATATTCAGCATCCGCATGTGACTGTTCTTGTCCTCTACTCGAGGAACATACAACTTTTTGCTCACCTGTGAATGATTATCTTATCCAAGAACAGCAAATAAGAACTTGAATTTGATAATACATACATAAAAAGGTACACAAACCCTATGGATCAACAAATAAATAAAAACACTCCATTTTGACATGCAATCCAACTCTAGACCAGGATATAAAATCTTCTCCTCCCAGATTAGTATCAGATGGCAAAACAACAACGAAAAACTAAGCCTTGTTCCATTAATCATTTTGATGGCACATTGCAATATTTAAAAGTAGTCCAAATGCTACTTAGCCCCACTCGACTATCATTTAATGTCAAGTTAACGCCACCTGACTGGGGTTGTAACCCAACGGGGCTAAATGGCATCACTCAATTTAAAAATGTACCTTGATCTGTGTTCTTTAGAATTTCAGACAACACTTTAGAAGTGTCAACTTCTCTTAGAGCACTACAACTTATATAAGCACACAGTCCTTTACAAGACTTGAACCATGGAGCTTCCAATATTATACTTTGTATTGCATCATCTGAAACAATCAAAATAAGGGGGGAAATCCATATGGAATAAATAAGATTCAAATCTAAAACAAAAACAAATAAGCACACCACACAACACAAACACATGTATATACGCGTTATGTAGGTATGTGTATGTACCTTCTTGAGATCTGAGAGTGGGATCCATGGACTTGAGGTCTTTTCTGACTTTGCTACGGAGGATCTTCTTTTGCTTAAAATGGTGTCCAATTGGGTCGTATTGGTGTTCATGGTGCCGAAGTTTAAGGTGGCGGTGTGGCGCAGGTTAAGGCGAGAAGGATATGGGTAGAGTACACGGGTAGTTACAAATGAAGGTGGCGATGCCGCGGCGGTTGCTAATGTGCGCGGGTGAATCATCAGCCTTTCAGCGGCCACTATCAGTTTTCGGGCCCCCTTTGTGAGCCCTATTATGATCATTTGGGCTTTTTTTAGGAATAAATAATTAATTTAGAGCAGATTTTTACAAAGCAAAAAATATTTTTCTAAAAATAAGTTAAAATTTATTTTCTATAGAAGTAAATTTTATGGATAAGATTAGTAATTTTGGAAATCATATTTGGCAAAGCTTAAAAAGGAATAAAGTTATTTGATGGATATGGGCCAACAGTCTACTGAGAGATGATAAGGCGTAAATCCAATTCAGCCACTCAAATTTATTTAGAAAGCGATTTTAATTGGCTTTATATAGCCTTCGTTTGGTTTGGATTAAAATTTGATTTTAATTCAAGTCAAAGTCAAACAATCAATATTAACCATATCTTTCATGGATGCCACAACTTTTCAACCACATATTTCAAAAACTTCTATCACAATCTACTAAAAATCTAATTTTTATCCCCACCGAACACTCTCATAATATTGGATAATTCTCAAAAAAAACTCCGGATTAAGCCTGTAAAATGAGTCAGCCTAACTCAACCTGCAGATAAAAGGAAAAACAAAAAATTGGTAGATTTGTAATATTTCATCACCTTATAATTCTGGATTGTACAAAAATTATATAAAATGCATTCTATTTAAATAATTTCACACATTCAAGGTTGGGGACAACACACATGGCCGATTTTGCACGGAGGCTAGTGAGGCCCGAGCCTCAAGCCAACATTAGAGGGGTCTATTTAGCCTCTTTCGTTCTTCTTCTTTTTCTTTATTTTTTGGTAAATTATATCCATTATAATCTTTTTATTAAACATTTGATAATTAGGCCCATTCAATTACATTCCATCGTAAATAAGGCCCAATAGCATTTTTTCATGAAGAAACTACACATAGCGTGTGTTTACAGTTTACACTTCATTAATCAGATTTTAAGTTTAATTTTTCATAAATCATGTTATAATTGAAATAATATAAATTAACATAATCTACATATTCACCTAACACAACCCCACCCACCCATTTCAATTTGAATCTCAAGCCCTAATTTATTTCTCCATCACTTCTCTCTCTCCCGCTCTCTATTCTCATTCCCGCGGCGATCTTCTTCTACGATTTCTCTGATTAGGTGGTGGAGGTGACTGGACAGGTTGTGGTGAGGAGAAAACTGGTGGCAAGGTGAGTAGATAGGTGGTGTTTGTGGTTTTGGTGTCGAGTTGGGCAACGGAAATAGAACCAACATAGCCTTGGTAGTGTTAGCTTCGGTCATAGTGACTATCCCGCTTGGGTGGTGGAGGTGATTGGACGGTGGTGGTGGGGTGAGTAGATCGATGGTGCTTGTGGTTTTGGTATTGGATATGGCGGCGGCGACGGTGATGATAATGGTGGTAGGGTCTTTAGTGACCTTGGCGGTGGGGAGCCATTTTGCTGGTTATTGGTGCTATTGCGATGTTTGTGCGGTGATGTGTCGCGGGAATGGTGGTACAGGTTGTGAAGGTGGTGTTATAGATGGTAGTGGATCTGGTTGTGGTGGTGAAGTATTGATTTTGGTTTTGGTTTTTGTTGTTAGAGTGGTGGTGGTCGTGGTGGTTTCCATATTTTGGTGGTGTTGGGGGGTTTGGGTTGATTTTTGTTGATGGTATAAGCGACGGTGAGGGTTGGTGATGATAGTGGTGGTCGTCGCAGTGGTGAGTTGGTTGTACGTGGGATGCGCATGGGGTGGGGGTGTTTGTGACCAATTATTTAAGATTGTGACCAATAAATTGTATATTTTGTGACTAATAGATAATACGTGACCTAAAAATTTGAATTGTGACTTTAACATTTGTGATTTATGAATGATAAATTGATATTGTAACCAATAAATAATATGCGACTTATTAATTTGATAGATTTGTGATCGATAAATAAATTGTGACTTTTAAAATTTTAATTTGTGACCCGTGAACAAACTGTGACCTATAATTTTTTTTAATTGTGATTGTAAAATAATTTGTGACATAAAAATTCTGATCTGTGATCGAAAAATAATATGTGACTAATTAAATGGTTATTTTGTAACCAAATTGTATAGATTTGTGACCTTAATATATTTAATTAATTAAATCATAAATAAATTTTAATAAAAACTTGATTTTTGAAATTTAAAACATCAATCCTTAATTTTGAAATGGTGATACTTAAATACTTTATTTATGTATTGTTCCATTTTTTCATTGTGTGAATTTCATTTTTAAATTAGGCCTATTTCAAATGCAATAGAAGGGAACAAACGACTTAAGATTTCTCAAACTCATGTTGTAGTTATTTCTTAATTTTACGCAACTTGTTCATCACATGGGTAGTATTCGATTTATTTGTTTAAAATAAGAGACGTTTTACTTGACTTGATAGAAATTAACGAATATCCTAAAAGAAGTGAAATCGAGTCCTTAGTGACATATGAACTTCAAAATTTTTAGTTCTTACTTGACATGGTAATCTGGTACATGTTACACGAGTCAATATTATGAGTACATTTTTTCAAATCGAAAACATGTATATTGATGATGCTATCGACCTCTTGCAAAGAATTGTTTCATTTTTCGAAGATTATAGAGAAATTGAATTTTCTATTGTCATGGATAAACCGACAAAAAGGGCAAGTAAAATGGGAATTGAAGCAATATTCTGAGAAAAAAACGTATAATTTGAAGTGATGTAAATCAATTAGCTGAAAAATATTTTAGAATTTAATACTTCAATTTTATAATTAATCCAGCTCTATCTTTTATAAGACTCGATATAAACAATTTAAGCAATATGAAGAAATATTTGGATTTTTGTTAAATTTGGAGAGTTTTAAGGCGTGCAACTTTTTTTCAATTTGTTGAAATTTTGTATGAATCTTGAGAATTATCTGGAACATAATGAATGTTCGGATATTAATGGAGATGATTTATATTATGAGTTATATGTCCTGAGGTGCTATATCTATCTACAATATATTAAAACTTAAAAGTGGAGATTGTGGAGAAACTTTTGAATACCACTTTTACCCTTACATATTTACCTATATGCCCAATATATCCTCATGATTTACTAAAATGAAAAAATAAAATAAAATTGAAAGGTTGCATTAATATTTTATATTTATTATTTATCCCAATTTAAAAGTTGTTTTAATTGGCAGTTTCATATAAATACACATACGTTTAGATAAAAATGAAACATCAAATGATTCAATTTATTACTTCTAAATAAGATTATAATTATTATATTGCTTTAAAAAATTAAATCAAATAATTTCCGGTAAATACAATTATTACTATATAATTCACTACAGAGTACCAAATGTTTCAATTCATTTTCTCTAAATAAGATAATTAATAATTAATACTGCTTTAAAAAATTAAGTCAATTAATTTCCCCTAAACATAATT